CTAAATTGTTTCTCTTATCATAGTTAGAATGATCATTTCCAATCCCAAATCATGTCACACCTCACCCCTTAACTCTTCCTCCTCCTCCACCTTCACCATACTCTACCTTCTGTACTTAACACTTTCTAATGACTTCCTTAAACTCTTAAAAAAGAAGAAATCCTTAAAATGAGCTGTTAAGTCTTCCTGACTTAGTTCCTATCAAAGTCTCCAGGCTTGCCTCCATCCGTGGCCTTCCTTACTCTCTGTCTCAGCCACACTGGCTTTCTTCCAGTCCTTTCCATGTATCCCACTTCCTCCTGCCTCAGGAGCTTTGCACATACTCTTCCCCACTTGGATTTGCCTTGTTAACAGCCTACATAGCTTTCAGATCAGGACTCAATTTCATGTCCACAGGGAAACTCAACACACCCTCCTGAGTGGTCTCCTTCAGGCACTTAAACGTGATAAATTTGCAGTTACGCTCTTTAATTACTGTCGGTCTCCTCCAAACCTTTAAGCTCTACGATGCCACAGACTTGCCCCGCACCCAGCACAGTGCCGGGCACAGTGTCCTCACTCAGTAAATATTTGTTGAATGGCTAAGTAAAAGAAAGTCCTATGTTGGATTCTGAGGATATAAAGATCAATAAGGCACAGAACGTCCCAGAAAGCACCTCGTAGATTGAGAGTGGGAGGGGACAAGCAAATGAGAGGATGAGCGAACATTCTCAGGGTTTAATAGGATGATGAGCAATTAACAGAGAAACCGGCCAGATGCCCCAGTGGAGACAGTGATCCCTGGGCCCCGCCTACCTGCTCCTAGGTGACGCTCAATCCAGGCGTCTATTGGCTGATCTGTCAGCCCTCAGGGGCCCCTGGTCACCAGAGTCCTGAGTGTCCCTTGGATGTTACTGCTGTGCACTTGTCCATGCATTCCAGCCATGGCAATGCCAACCCCCATGACCACAAATCCTGCACAGGCACCATCCTCAGGAACTGGGCACACCATGGGGCCAGGTTAGAATGCAGTGTTATAAAAGGCTCTGGCTGCAATAAGGGCATCAGGCAGAGCACTTTAGTTAGAAGAGCTCCTGGTGCCTCCTGGGCAGTGATCTCATCATATCCTCAGACCAACCCCAGGAGGCAGCAAAGGGAAATGATTTTTCTCCCCGTGGGACAGCTGAGGAAACAGATCAACAGAGATTACCTGACTTGGCCAAGTAATGAGAATAGCTTAGGAACAGAACTTCTGTGAGTCCACCAGTCAGACCAATCAGCAGAGGAGGCCTCCTCCAGCTGCAGGTCTGCCGTGGCAGGAAACCTGTACAGTTTGTTCACTTTGGTGCAGAAGGACACTTCGTGGCCCCTTCACACCACTGAATGTTAGAGCAGGTGGGCCTTGAGAGATCATTTGATTCAGCACCCTCATAAAGAAGGAAACTGAGACCAAAAGGATGAAGGTTTTAATTCTCCCTTTCTTTCCCTGCCCTACTGATATCAAGGGGTAGGGCAGAGATTGTTAGCCGTCTACCCAAATCCCTTCTCCCCTTCTTTGCCTGTGTGGCTAGACCAGCCGCCTGTGCAGTTGGGTGAGCCATGTGACCATGCTGTCTCCAGTGGAATGTAAGAGGAGATGAGGCACTTCCAGAGCAGCCCGCCGAAACCTCCTCTGCTCACACCACCATGTTATATTCACCTCTGGCTGACTGGGATGCCAATTCCCACAGCAACTTTGGAAGCCATGCTAGAATATGGCAGAACCACCATAATGTGGTTTCTTGTTCCCTTCCGTGGGACAGCTTCTCCACACAGCTCAATGAGCTGAACATCAGTGTCTGAGGCTGCTAGGGAACAAGAACGAAACACATACGGTATTAAGCTGCTGCATCTGGGCGGCTTATCTGTTACTACAGCCTAGCCTAATCTGACTAACACGAGTAGAGGCAGGAAAGCCCTGGCAAAAGCCCCGACTACATGAAGTTTCAGGTGGCAAAGACACTGGGCTCCCTGCTCTTACTGCCAGCCACATTGGGGTGCCCCCACTCCTACCTGTGGAGAGGTCAGGAATGCCTGTTAACTCACTCAGTCCTGGAATTTGTTCTGAGCTGGCTTCGCATCTGTTTTATCCTAGATCAACAGATTCCCAGGGCTGGAATGGGTCTGAGAAGTCATCTGATTTATGACCCTGGCTCCAAATAGGACCTCTCTTAAGCTATCTGAGATGATCAAGAATCTTGCCTGGATTTTCATATCTCTGGGAAGGAAACACTACAAATGTCCTTTGATAACTGTTTTAGTCTATGGCCACACCCGCCTAAAAGTGCCTAGTATTTTCTGATCTCAGACACTAAGCAGGCTTGGGTCTGGTTAGTACTCGCATGGGAGACACCTATTTCATATCTCCTTGCTACTGTGCCAGAAGTCCTTTACTCAACTCGAAAACATCAGAGCTAGAACACCCCTTAGCAATCATCTAGGACCATCTTTGTTTTACAGATTGGAAACTGCAGCCCAGATCACACAATTAAGCAGTGGTAAGCCGGGCGCGGTGGCTCAAGCCTGTAATCCCAGCACTTTGGGAGGCTGAGGCGGGCGGATCACGAGGTCAAGAGATTGAGACCATCCTGGTCAACATGGTGAAACCCCGTCTCTACTAAAATTACAAAAAATTAGCTGGGCATCGTGGCGCATGCCTGTAATCCCAGCTACTCAGGAGGCTGAGGCAGGAGAATTGCCTGAACCTGGCAGGCGGAGGTTGTGGTGAGCCGAGATCGCGCCATTGCACTCCAGCCTGGGTAACAAGAGCGAAACTCTGTCTCAAAAAAAAAAAAAAAAAAAAAAAAAAAAAAAAAAAAAAGCAGTGGTAAAGGCCAGAAACAAAGCCAGGACTCTTGGACCAAGTCAGCTGTTCTTTGCAAGGTTCTACACTGCCTCCAGCTCTCTCTTGCTCTCTTGCCGTTTTCTCATGTTCTGCTCTAGGAGGAGAAGAAAAAGAGCTGAAATCCATCTACACGGTGATCGATCCTTCCAAATTCTCCCTGCGCGTCCCACTCCTAATCTGCTGGTTAAGCTCTTTCTAGCTGGCAGTTACCCTGAACTCAGTCATTTCTCTTAGAAGACAGAGAGAAGATTAGAGAGAGATAAACCCGCGTACTTAAAAGTGGAATGGGATTGATCGGGGGAGGATTGGGGGAAGGAAGCAGGTACGTGTTTATTCCTTGGGTCTTAGTGGAAAAGGCAGATTCTCTCATAGGATTCCTGAATAATGGCCATTCTACCCTTAAACCTTCCTGCTTGCCTGGGAGGGCAACCAGTACTATGTGACATGGTCTCCTTGGAGGGGAGGGAGTGATAGTGACCAGAACCTTGAGCACAGTCCTAGTCTGTTGGGGCTTGTCTGGCTGAGTCTGGGCAGCCGTGCATTTCTGCCTGTTAATGTGAGAGCAGCTTCCAGAGAAGTTGAGCTCAGGCCATGAGAGCAAAGCAAGTCAGTTTCGGGGGGATTATTGTTTGGTATTTTCTTGGAGAGACCTGGAAATTCTGTGTAAGAGCCCTGGAAAGCTGGTATGTTTAAGAACAAAACAAAATAAAACACAAATCTTTACTCCTCCTTCCCCTATTTAAGGTGAGTTTGTTTATACATAGCCTCCTTTATGTTTTTTGCCAAATGACTCACTTGTACTGAGTCACCAGAAAGTGGACCTAGGCCCATCTGCAGCTGCCCTGGACACCACGATCTCGTTCTCCTGGAGGTGGGTCGTGGAGACATGGAGACAGAGAAACAGAGAAGAGCAGAGAAATGGGGTGGAGAGCCAGGCCTGAAAGTGAAGCGCATACTCATATTTTCATGGGCATTTGGTTGTCAGACAGGGGCCCCCAACAGAACTGGCAAGATCCCCAAGGAACTGCAGCAATTTGTTTCTGTTGCAACACTGTCTGCATTACTGCAAGCTGAATTAGGAGACCAGAATTAATAACATCACACGGTCATTCACAGATCAATCATTTCATCTTCAGGTCTACCTTCAGAATCTTGAGCAAGTTATTTTCCTATTTTGAGCCCCTCTTTCTTCACTTAATGAAGAGGCCAGTCACAAACTTTAGACATTTTATTATTCATTTACTGGGAAGGGAGAGGATATGGAAACAAATGGAATTTTATTTACCAAGAAAATTCGTTTACACGAAATCTCTGAATCTCTTCCCATAGGTTTCCATTTAAAATTCTGTGATCTCTGGGCATCATTTCGTTTAATTTGCGACCTGCAGCTCTTTTCCTGATGATGAGTTTGCCCTAGCCTGCCTGAATTCACAGTTTTCTTTTCCCTGCAGCCTGTCTGGGTGTCCTGGCGGTGACATCTCTGCAGAGCTCTGGTGCGAGCCAAAGGCAGTGGTCGGATGGGAACAGCATCCAAGCTTGAGAGGGCGTGGGGGGATACTCGGATTCTCGCGTTGGCTGGAGGGTGAGGTGTTAGGCTTGACAAACAAGAACTCGTCACCAGCCCTGGGGCCTGGAGGAGGGGAGGTGGGGTGGGAGTGAGGACAGTTCACATCAGTAAGGGCGGCGACAGCGCGGGGTGGGGAGCAGGGGACCGCTCCCCTTCTCTCTCCCATCAAAGCACTTAGGATAATTTAGTCTGGTGCTGACCACATTACCCACGACCTGCTTTTCACCGACTTCTTGTGCGTTTAAGGAGTTAGGAAACTGGTGGTGTCCGATTCAGAAGACTCTTTGCGGAGCGTGTGTGTGACAAAAGTTGCACCGTGGCTCCGCTGACCTCACCCCGCCGTCCCGGGCCGGGCCGCTCTCCAGGCGCCCGGCCCCAGCCCCCTTCCTGCCCTCTCCCCGCCCCCGGGCCCGCCGCGCGGGGCCGGTGATGTCAACCGAGGAGGAGCCGCCCGCCCGCCCGCGACCCGCCCGGGCTAATTAGCATGTAGCGGCGCCGCGGGCCGCCTCCGCCCAGCCCGCCCGGCCCCCGGCCGCCCTCCCGCGGCTCGCGACAACTTTTGAGGCGGGGAGCGCGCTCGCAGCCTCACTGCGCTCACATCCAGGCCCCGCGAGGCCCCCGCCGCCCGCTGCCCTCGCCCGCGGCCACCCCGCGCCCGCCCCGCGCGCCGGGCATGTGAGCGCGGGCGGGCGCCGCCACCATGGCCTCGCCGCGCGCCTCGCGGTGGCCGCCGCCGCTCCTGCTGCTGCTGCTGCTGCTGCCGCTACCCGCGGCGGCCCCCGGGACGCGGGACCCGCCGCCTTCCCCGGCCCGCCGCGCGCCGAGCCGGGCGCCCCTCGCGGGCGCGGGGCTGAAGCTGCAGCTGGAGCGCCGCCCGGAGCGTGAGCCGCCGCCGCCCACGCCGCCCCCGGGCCCCAGCCACACCGCCCCTGAGCCGGGCGCCGCGACACGGCGAGGACCCTCCGGCCGGTACCCCCGAGGCGGGAGCGCGGGTGAGTGAGAGCCGGGAACCTGGCGGCGGGCCAGCCTGGGCTGGGGGCGTGGGCGCGCCGCGGGCTGCATCCCCAGCCGTAGGCCCCTCCGCACCGTACGACCCCGGGTGGGGGCTCCTCGCCCGGCATGTGCGGGACCCTGACGGTCGGCGGGTAGGGAGGGACGCTTTGGCCGGTGGCTGGACGGGGGGGTGTGACCATCCCGTTCTCCAACGACCCTTTGGAAGAAAACTTACTTCCCATGGGTACCCTGTATCTCTTCCACCCCACTTAAAAAAAAAAAAAAAATGGAAAGGAAAGAAAAAAGGCTCTAAAGCATCTCTCCCACCTCTGAGTTCTGGCCGGCAGTCCCCAGGTCCATTTTTCCCCGATACAGAACTGGCCACTCTGTTCTGGGCTTGACTTTCTCATCTAAATGATTTTTAAGAGGTTCTAGCAGGGGATATTGTGAAGGACAAAGGATGTAAGTAGTTTGAAACAAAATGCTCTACTGGTTCAACTTCAAAGGAACGCGGGTGGGGGTTGCATGGTCGAACCCCTTCAAGGCAGAGGTTGATACAGGACCATCCGTGAGTCTCCTCCCTCCTCTTTCCTTTCCCAGTGAACTGTTACTCCGTGATAGCCACTGCCTGTCCCAAGCAGAGAGGGGGAACTGAACTCTTCTCCCTGCTACTTTTGTATCCAGTTCTTTCTTATGATTTGGAAAAATATGCCACAGATTGAGTGGAATTCTAACCATAATACTATTATGACCTTGGGAATGCTGTCTCTTTGAGCTTACTTTCTCCATCTGTGAAATGGAAGTGATGATCCCTGTTCCTTCTAGCCTCCTAGTGATGATGTGACAAAATGAAAGTAAAAATAAATGGAAAGTGCTTTGAACAAAGTCAGGAACGTGGTGGTGTTAGCCTTTGCCTTCCTGTGAGTGACACAGGGCATTCATACGCTCTGTCCTGGCTATTCAAAGAAGCTGGGTTGCTTGCAACACTAGATATCGATTTGGAGTTTCCCTGAAAGTTGAGTTTTTTGTTTGACATAATTGACAATTTGTTTAAGCTTCTCATATCACGCAGACTTTCTGGCTTGTGAATTAGCTTGCTTCCTCCGACCTAGAGGTGCTTCTTAGAGTTAAATAATAAAAAATTTGTAAGAACTTAATTTCATATTCAACAGTATTCCCATTGTTGCAAAGTGCCTTATTTTTATGAATTTTTAAATCACTGGCATAAGATTGAGACACCGAGGAAGAGTAAGACAAGGAAGAGGAGAGATAAGCTTTTAAAGACTTGTAGAGACACATCCCAGAGTGACTCTGACTTTAGATTACTTACAGCATATGCTGTTTTGCTAACTTCCACGGGAAGGAATCAAGAACATAAGAGCACATTTCCTGACTTTCTCCAACTAGAAAAGTAACTGAGGAACACTGTGTAGTATTTTGTGAGTTTTTCTAAACAGAACATAGAGTGCAGAGAGTTGAGAACATTTCAGAGGAGACACCCAAGCGCCGAAGGCAGAGTTCTCTGGGTAGCAGTCAGGCTGATTTAGCTGAAGGGCCCCCATGTTGTTGTTAGGGGATAGGAGGGAGGCACACTGACTTGCAGGGGCCCTGGCAGGATGGGGCTGGCCCGTGAGTCTCTTTCCTTCTCTTAGGGCTGGGATCTCCAGAGGCCATAGAAAGGTAGATGGTACAGTGATAGGGACAGTGTAGGCAGCTGGCCTAGAGGACTCAGCTGGTAAGAGTTGGGGCCTCATGTGACCCAAATGTCCCGGACAGGTGTGGCAGGTAACACTGCTGGTCTTGGCTTTGTGGCTTTCCCAGTTTGATTCCTTTGCAGAGGTGAGTGATGGAGGCTTCAGGTACATGAGGTATTGGAAGGAATACGTTTGATAGTCCCAAAAGCAGCGAGAGAGTAGCTGGAATAGTGCACACCTTCACTTACCTAAGTGGGCTCTCCTGGTCTCCTGGTGCCCCGCAGCCCGCCACCCAAGAAGTGCCTCCTCTTCAGTGGCTCAAAGGCCCAGTCTCTGAAGGGATGTTATGAAGGTGTGATTGGAAGAGATAAAAGCAGCATCTGTTGAAAGCTGCCAGAAGCTACTCATGGCTGAGGATCTAGGCATGAGCTGTGCTTGTTTTTCTGGTAGTGGCCCCAAAAAAGTGTTATTTAGGGGAAAAAAAGAAACAACAAATAAGAAAACCAGTGTTCAGTGATTTCAGTGAGTCTGAGTTTTCTGACAACCAGGATTGGGGGCCTTTGGGATTAGCCTCCATGTATCACTAGATGCTGTCACTTATTTCACAAGGCAGCAAGGTCTCAATGCTGAGCGGGCCTCCGCAGGTCCTCCAGTCCACACTGTGTCCCATGCAGATGTCTCCCCAACAGCACCCCTGACAGAAGGTCATCCTGGCTCTCCCTCAGCAGTTTTGTGTTTGGGGAGGTACCACGCTACTGCTGCTAACAAGCCCGGAGTCTCACAAGTAATGTGCTTCATTTGGTTGTTGGGGAAGCTGCCTACAGCCCCTTCATGCCATGGGGATGCTGGTAGTCAGGGTCTGGCTCCTGGGACTTCCAGATACACTGGTATCAGCAGTATGGGGCACAAATGTTCTTTTCTTCCCTGTGGGCCATTTCCAGTTCTTCTCCTCCTGGCAGAGTTCAGCTTCTCACTGTTGAGTAACTGTGTTTGCATTCCATTATGTGGGTGTTTTGCCGGTATTAGACTGTAAGTCCCTGGAGAGCAGCTCCCTGTTTATATAGCCATTGTTCAGCTTTTGCGCCCACCTGTCACCCTGCTGGCTGTTCAGCCGATGTTTATTGCTGGTGTTTCAGCCAGTGACAAGATGCTGAGACCTAGAGGTTTTCTTTTTCTGCGTGTGTTTTTCTGCCACCCAGGACGTCCAAGCCACAGTTCTAAGCTGAATGCTAGGTTTATATGCCTTGATTTTGTGATCCCTATGCTGTGCTTTAATTGTGAGTTCTGCAGATGAGAGGGAGAAAAGGCTTAAATCATAATGAAAATCAATGCAGAAGGAAAGAACTTTCCCACCCAAAGGGGAAATGACGCTGGGTAGCTGAGCAGCCAGCCCAAGAACTAATAATCTTAGAAAAATGCAGCTCCCTAGAGGAAAGGAAGTGCTTTGAGCCCAGCCCCTTCTGAGCTGTTAAATAGCTGTCGCTTGAACTGCTCTAACTTTGTGGGCCAACTTCGTCATTTAGCTTGGCTGCTGGGAGAACCATTACAAGGTGCAGCGGGCAAACAGCAGCCCCTCAGGGAAGGGAGAGTGGCTTTCCTCCAGAAAGAGGCTACCTCACTCCTGGCAGAGGCTTGGGGCGGGTGGTGGTGGGGATTCCTGAGAAGCCTGTTTGCTTTGATGGAGGGTGTCCCAAATAGAAAAGGGGAGGGGTAGGGGGCAAGGGACTCTCTTTGGTGCATGCGTGTTTAAAAGCCACATCCTTTTTACCTTGCAAGAACCCTTTTATTGCTTTCCTCAGCCTCTGTGCACATGCCGAACTGGTATTTTTTGCCAGAGACCCGAATGGTGTGGACTGAGGGAGACTGAAAGATACTTGCTGCCCAGCTGGGCAGTTTCTGCATCCTAGTCCTGGGGACTAGGGGGAAGGAGCCTCTGCCCTCCCAGTGATTCCTCCTGCCTTCCAGCAGCCCTGCTCAGCTGGCTGAAAACAGTGATCCTGGAGTTAACTTGTCCTTGTCCAGAGACTCTCAGAAAGAAAGCAAAGAACAGATGGCAGTTGCGGTTTTGTTAGCCACTTACTGCCTTCTTCCGTGGCTTCCCTCTGTCTCCAGTGTCCTTTTTGTATGAATGGGAGGTTTCAGCTGCAGTCAATGTTCACTTCCAGGAATCCTGCGGAGGCAACAAGGAAGGAGACTAGTTGGGGTCTGACTTCTGACTTCCTGGCCTTTGAGCACCTATGTGTGGTCGAGGCCTTCACACTCCTTGTCCCATTTAACCCTCAAAACAAGTCAGTGAGGGATGTTATTTGCCTTTTACAGTTCTGGAAACAGTACCCTGGAGAGATTAGATCACACAGTAAATGGAGGTGGCAGGATTTAAATAGATTTTGACCAAATCCATTTGCTTGTTCCACAGTATCAGGAAGTCTCAGTTTTCTTATCTGTAAAATGGGAGAAAATCCTCTAAGATCAGTCTTCTTCCCTCTCTCCATCCCTTGCTCTTGCTTTTGTGTAGAGATTAGGGGCCAGCATTGGGGTGGGGAAAAGATCAGGGGATGGTAGTGGGAATGGGGATACCTGTAGAGTAAAAATTTAAAAAACTTTTTTGTTTAAAATTGAGAGAAGACCACGAGTCTTTAAAATGACATTTTATTTAGAGATTGTAAATCATGCCCTACTCATACGCCAGTCCATAGGTTATTGATGCCAGAGGTTGCTTCATTAGTTATAAACCAAGCTGAAATGAATTGGTGACTTTCTTAATGGGCCCTCTCCTGGGAGTGTGGAGCAGTGGCTGACATTGTGAGGCAGTTGTTATGAATACCTTCCCAGTAGAAGGCGAGGTTAAATGGTACTCCATGCAGATGCTGTAAACTTGCTTTCATTTTAACATCCATGCTCTCTTCTACCCACTCACCATTCATGGAGCGTAGACAGAAACAAAGATGTTTCTATCCTGTTTTTTTTTCACTCTTCTTTTGTTGGCGTGTGGCAGATGTCTCTGTTTGTGTCACATTGGACTGATTTGTAAATCAGGAAATATTTACAGAAGCCTTGCTATGTGGAAGAGCCATGCCAGGTGCTGTGGAGGTTGTAGTGCGTGCCTGTGATGCGCCCAGGGAACATTCAGTCTTGTTGGAGCACACACATCAAGACTGTAAAAAGCAAAATAACGATGCATGAGTGATTCACAACTGAAGAAATGCCACGGAAGATCATAGTGACCAAAGGAATGGTGAGGGTAGAGATGGGCTGCACATGCAGACGTGGAGACCCCTGGGGGCCGGATAGTCCAGGGAGACTTC